AGAGAGTGACATTACACCAGGTTTTCACCTAAAGGTGTTACTTTACATCGTAAGAGAGTCACTTTACACCAGAATCTCACCTAAAAGTGTTACTTTACACCGTAAAGAGTGACATTACACCAGATTCTCACCTAAAAGTGTTACCTTACACTGTGAGGGAATGATTTTACACCAAATCGATACCTTTAATGTTACCTTACACCGCACGGGTGCGGCATTACACCAAATTTTCACTTAAAAGTTGTACTTTACACAGTAAGGGAATGACTTTTACACCAAATCAGTACTGAAATCTGTCACCATACACCGTGTGGAGCGACGTTACACCAAATCGTGACCGAGATGTGTTACCTTACATCGTAAGGAGTGATTACACCATATTCAATGTAAGCGTAAGCAGAGATGTCTCTGGTGTACCCGTGAGGGACACTCGGACACAAAATCAAATCCTCACTTAAACATATTAGTTATTCCCACATCAAGAGCAAACTGCAGCTAACTTTTAATCTTGGCCTATTTGCGTCGGACAACATTGTGGCCCTCCGTATTACAAGATAAAATATTGGGTATTGTTCAATTTTGGGTACAGTATACGTAACCTCACGTTGAATGCCATTTGATTTTGCCTGTTAAACCCGGGTTTATGAAATGTGAACATGCCTAATGGTTTATTGTCGGATATAATGGACAATTACAATAAAATGCAAAATCTGTATTTGCAATAGTCACCATCATCAGTTAGGCCATATGCTTTCAGTACATAGATGCATGTTTGAACGAATCGTTCTGACCGCTTAATGAACAGGGCTTTAGCTGCAAAAAACCGGGCCACTCAGATGCTTTAAAAGTGTTTTTGCGAGTAAGAAGCTGAAAAACCGCGCACTTAGTATGTCCACAGTCTAGTGATGCATGATCTTTGTAAGTTTTGTGTCTCATTGCTTTACATGTACATGGAAAATATTATTGATACCTTATGTTATTATTGAACATTGTAAACAGATTTGTTATCTAAAGTTTTGCAACCTAAAAATAAAGACCAGAGGGATTTGAGACAGATGACTTATTACAATTTTGTTGTATTTAGTTGGGAGAGGTTTTAATATATTGTGTAGTTGGTAATATTCACAGAGGATTTAATTTAGCTCTGTTTGCGGCTGTTGAAGGTAGCACGAAATTAAATACCCCGCAAACTTTTTTTATACCATTTGCCTGGATACTGTGGCACTCATTCATACACAAGCGCAAAAATATACCACCGCAAACATGTATACCTCAAATAGAGATGACCCGAAATAAAAATAACTGATAAAGTATGAAGCTTACACTGCTTACAAATTACTAGTTTCCCTAGTTGGAGTTTAAGTAACATTGATAAAGGATGAAGGTAACACTGATAAAGGATGAAAGTAACACTGATAAAGAATGAAGGTAACACCAGTAAAGGATGAAAGTAACACTGATAAAGGATGAAAGTAATACTGATAAAGAATGAAGGTACCATGATAAAGGATGAAGGTAACACTGATAAAGGATGAAGGTAACACTGATAAAGGATGAAAGTAATACTGATAAAGAATGAAGGTACCATTGATAAAGGATGAAGGTAACACTGATAAAGGATGAAGGTAACACTGATAAAGGATGAAAGTAACACTGATAAAGAATGAAGGTAACACCAGTAAAGGATGAAGGTAACATCGGTAAAGAATTAAGGTAACACTGATAAAGGATGAAGGTAACACCAGTAAAGGATAAAGGTAACACTGATAAAGGATGAAGGTAACACTGATAAAGAATGAAGGTAACACTGATAAAGGATGAAGGTAACACTGATAAAGGATAAAGGTAACACTGATAAAGAATGAAGGTAACACTGATAAAGGATGAAGGTAACACTGATAAAGAATGAAGGTAACACCAGTAAAGGATGAAGGTAACATCGGTAAAGAATTAAGGTAACACTGATAAAGGATGAAGGTAACACCAGTAAAGGATGAAGATAACACTGATGAAGAATGAAGGTAACACCAGTAAAGGATGAAGGTAACATCGGTAAAGAATTAAGGTAACACTGATAAAGGATGAAAGTAAAACCAGTAAAGGATGAAGGTAACACCAGTAAAGGATAAAGGTAACACTGATAAAGGATGAAGGTAACACTGATAAAGAATGAAGGTAACACTGATAAAGGATGAAGGTAACACTGATCAAGAATGAAGGTAACACTGATAAAGGATGAAGGTAACACTGATAAAGGATGAAAGTAACACTGATAAAGAATGAAGGTAACACCAGTAAAGGATGAAGGTAACATCGGTAAAGAATTAAGGTAACACTGATAAAGGATGAAGGTAACACCAGTAAAGGATGAAGATAACACTGATAAAGGATGAAGGTACCATTGATAAAGGATGAAGGTAACACTGATAAAGGATGAAGGTAACACTGATAAAGGATGAAAGTAACACTGATAAAGAATGAAGGTAACACCAGTAAAGGATGAAGGTAACACTGATAAAGGATGAAGGTAACACTGATAAAGGATGAAGGTAACACTGATAAAGGATGAAGGTAGCACTGATAAAGGATGAAGGTAACACAGGTAAAAGATGAAGGTAACACTGATAAAGGATAAAGAACACTGATAAAGAATGAAAGTAACACCAGTAAAGGATGAAGGTAACATCGGTAAAGAATTAAGGTAACACTGATAAAGGATGAAGGTAACACCAGTAAAGGATGAAGATAACACTGATAAAGGATGAAGGTACCATTGATAAAGGATGAAGGTAACACTGATAAAAGATGAAGGTAACACTGATAAAGGATGAAGGTAACACCAGTAAAGGATGAAGGTAACACCAGTGAAGGATGAAGGTAACACTGATAAAGGATGAAGGTAACACCAGTAAAGGAGGAAGGTAACACTGATAAAGGATGAAGGTAACACTGATAAAGAATGAAGGTAACACTGATAAAGGATGAAGGTAACACTGGATAAAGGATAAAGGATAACACTGATAAAGAATGAAGGTAACACCAGTAAAGGATGAAGGTAACATCGGTAAAGAATTAAGGTAACACTGATAAAGGATGAAGGTAACACCAGTAAAGGATGAAGATAACACTGATAAAGGATGAAGGTACCATTGATAAAGGATGAAGGTAACACTGATAAAGGATGAAGGTAACACTGATAAAGGATGAAAGTAACACTGATAAAGGATGAAGGTAACACCAGTAAAGGATGAAGATAACACTGATAAAGGATGAAGGTACCATTGATAAAGGATGAAGGTAACACTGATAAAAGATGAAGGTAACACTGATAAAGGATGAAGGTAACACCAGTAAAGGATGAAGGTAACACTGATAAAGGATGAAGGTAACACTGATAAAGGATGAAGGTAACACTGATAAAGGATGAAGGTAACACCAGTAAAGAAGGTAACATTGATAAAGGATGAAGGTAACACCAGGAAAAAGGATGAAGGTAACACTGATAAAGGATGAAGGTAACACTGATAAAGGATGACGGTAACACTGATAAAGGATGAAGGTAACACCGGTAATGAATGAAGGTAACACTGATAAAGGATGAAGGTAACACTGATAAAGGATGAAATGAAGGTAACACTGATAAAGGATGAAGGTAACACTGATAAAGGATGATGGTAACACCAGTACAGGATGAAGGTAACACCAATGAAGGATAAAGGTAACATTGATAAAGGATGAAGGTAACACCAGTAAAAGGATGAAGGTAACACTGATAAAGGATGAAGGTAACACCAGTAAAGGAAGAAGGTAACACCAGTGAAGGATGAAGGTAACATTGATAAAGGATGAAGGTAACACCAGGAAAAAGGATGAAGGTAACACTGATAAAGGATGAAGGTAACACTGATAAAGGATGAAGGTAACACTGATAAAGGATGAATGTAACACTGATAAAGGATGAAGGTAACAATGATAAAGGATGAAAGTAACACCAGTAAAGGATGAAGGTAACATCGGTAAAGAATTAAGGTAACACTGATAAAGGATGAAGGTAACACCAGTAAAGGATGAAGAAAACACTGATAAAGGAAGAAGGTAACACCAGCTGCCTCCTTTCTTGGTGTAACTTTGCACCTATATCATGAGTTTACACCAGTGGTGTAATCTCATGAGATGGTGTAAAGTTGTATCGAAAAAGGTGGCAGCTGTGGTGCCATCTTTTTTGGTGTAACCTTTATCCCTGGAGTTTACAGTCCAGTTTTTCCTATCGTGCAGACATCGTGCGGCCATCGCGTCTCGTGTAACGTTGTGCGATCCCATAACTGCAAGAACTTTTGGTTTTTCACCTCTACACATTATCATAGTCCATTATAAACTGAGGGAAATATGAGTATGTCAAGAAGACATTTACAAAACAAGAAGTTGTTAAAATGATCGAATTTCTGGTTGACAATATCTTCGTCGAATTTGGCTGTTAGATCTTCCAACTGACAGTTTGAATACTTGTTATTCGTATTCATACGAGGCTAAATTTATCGAAGAGCTTATCAAAACTTGGCACAAAGACCTTGCGAAATCCTGCAGTTTCAATATATTGATAAACGTCTTTTTAGCAAGTAACACGAAGCCTATGGATCAGCTGCACCTTATCTACCCTCCCGACTTGAAAAGCAAGGACACAACTTTTTAAGTCAACCTATTAGCTCAATCTTTTCCTACAACATAGTCAACATGTACAACTTTTCACCAAGCTATATGATGAGCTTTCCATTTCTGGAATGTAACATCCCAAATTCCCCACCTTTGACCATAGAACATTTTGTTTAATATGCAAGGACTGCTCTCAATATTACGATTGTTGTTGATGAATACGATGGGAAAGTATCAGGTCATCAACAATCCCATTAAAAACCATTTTTTCCCCATGTAGTTGGACGTTCTTATAATATTTACCAACATTCGAGCTTACAAAATGGAACTTGATATATATTTGAACTCACATAGTTTGGTATCAATTCTTGCGGCATGTGCAAGACCAAAAGGAGCCACAGTGGCAATCCGCATAGTCTCGTGTAAGACTGCCTCAGTGTAGGGCATCGCAGGACGATCATCTAGTCCTGGCAGGCGATCACGCCCTGTTAGTTACATCAACAACAAAAAAAGCATGCAATATTAACAATCAATATGGCGAGTTCGTTTTCACTGTAAATTAGGGGAAGCGAACACAGGATCAACACTTAATAAACTACATTGTATTTCCTATTAACCCAGGGTTCCAAGGACCAGAGAGTCTCGAACTACCAACAAACTACAAGTGCAAATGAAATCAAAAATCACATTTCTACAGTTGCTATAATGTACAATGATGAATTGATTTAGGTGAAGCTTTGTTTGTGCCAGCCAATTATCGTATTTACGTTTGTATTTGAATTGTTTACATCAGCAGTCATAATTCAATGTTCGTTTTTTTTTCAAATATTTAAACATATAAACGTCATTTCCGGTACATACCAACGGCCTCGTCTATTTCCATCTGTGCTTGTTTCTGTACCTTTGGATTCGCAGCTATATACAAAAAGAACCACTGAAGTGTGAAACGAGTTGTATCAATTCCAGCTGGAAAAAAAGACAAATTGCTTTTTACAATTGTGATAACTCATAATACACAAAGAACTTTGTGCGCACATCGTCCGAAAAAAATCCGCTCAAAGTCATCATCCGCAAACACGCACTATATTGTATCTAGAATAGCACATTTAATGCGGATTGGTAAAAATGGTTGGCTGAAATTAGGAATTTAAATTTAAACGGAAAACGGATTAATTGTTCTTCATATCGTACAGTTTCACGCCTCAGAGATAGAGTGGCAAGTGGTGTGCCTCAGGCAACAAAAAATACCTGTATACCGGTATATAAAGAAGTAATAAAAATGAACTTTCCTTTTAGACTTTAATTAATTGCCGAGACAAAAAGAGACATCCATTTAATATTTATATATATATAAAGTATCTCTATGCTATGACTGGTTACGCGTGGCACTTTGTAAAGAAAACAATTTAAATTACGGGTGTACATAAATATTCAGTTTGTATGTGAAGGATGTACACATGTCCAACCCATAGATTCGTGGCTTTATTTGGAAATATATTCAGCTGTTCTCTTATATACGTAGAAATAAACCCTACCCCACACTTATTTGTACGTCATTTCTAAAGTCGGATCAGTCACGAAGAAATCGCACATCGGTGTGATAGAACCATACAACCTGCGCACAAATGTGGTATATTTAGTTTTTCCGAATGTGCGCACTTCGTGCATAAATAATGAGCACATCGTACAATGTTGGGCGATCCCATAGCTGTACCTTTCCCTTTTGTTACCATTGAAAAAAACAACTCAAATTCAATAAAACTAGAGCAAACGAAAGATCTAAATGGAGACTCCTGGAAAAATAAAAGGAGAATAAGAACAAGTGCTCCGGAAAAGTAAGCGTCATCTGCTTCTTCGACGATACTTGTTATGTAAATCTTTGTCAACCCAAGTAAGTATTGTCTCGTTCTCAAACAACAACGAAACCAATAGGTTGGCTAACTAGCAGTTTTGATATTTATATGCATATGTTTTATACAATAGCTTTATTGAACTGAAATATATTATTTTCAACATGAACAGATTACATTATCTGTTTAAATGTCATCTAGACTTTTTGTACATTCCGAAAAGATAAAGAGTAAGTTTTGATTTGAAGATTCAACACATGACATCCAACATGCACAGTATCTTTTTAATATAAATTAATCTAAAGACAAAGCAAATTATAAATTTCATCTTAAACCTCGTTCTCATGTTGGTTGGACCTTCTACGAACGGGTAGTGATGCTATAGGACTAAATTCCGAATGAGGAAATTAAATGGGCCAACAGAAATGTTAAAATAAAGACAGAGAACAAAAACTGAGTTTGTAAATTTCTATTATAGGAAAGGAACTACGAATACATTGTGAAGTGAGTAACCATGGTAACCATCGGGACGTCGGACCAATGACATCGTATTTACGTATTATATACTAACGAACACAAATGCTGATTCGATTGTTGGTATTTTCCAGCTCTTCTTGTGTTATACTGGGCTCTCTAATGAAATACGCCCAGCTTCACTGTGTATGTAGTAATTTATCGGTGATGGGGAGGTAACTCGCACTGCCGTCATACTTTTTTTTTAACATCGGTCATCCTCTCCGGAGTGGGAAATTTAAATGCCAAAAGTCAACCAGAAATAACAATATTTTAACACAATAAAAATTTACACTGAAATTCAATAAAACACAACTTACCTTTAGCCTGAGTGAAGGAGCTGTGGAACATATGTTCATATGTATTGGGATGGAATTGAAAACGATGACGACATGGATTTAAATTATCTAGGATATCATGAACGACTTACAAAGACAGGAATGGTGATAACCGCCGTGAATTTCTTTCCTGCCCACGTCTCGTCACGTTACATGTCTCGTGCACGTGTGAATGGCGATTGAAAGTCATAGTCCTAGTTTGGCACGTACTACACGCGTGTCGCACTACTATGTGTGACTGTACCGTTACTTAATTATAGTAAGGTAAATATTTCGATATCATATTCAAGTATGTATATTACTAGTTCTTAATGCTTTCTTATCACAAGGCGAATATTTCCAGGCTATGTACCTTATGTTGGGAAATAAATTATGGATGTGTTTAATTATTGACACAAGACTGTATTTCCTTGCGCACGTTCATTTAAGAGGCAATTCCCATACATATATAACATGTGTCTTCCCAGTTGACGTCATCGCCTATTGCAAAGTACTTACACATGTGTACGAATAGCTATCTGAAGTGATCATTTATACTTTGTCATGTCTGAACTTCAGTTTGATAAATTAATTTTCTTTGTCAATTTTAAGATAACTTGAATGATTGAAAATAAAACACGATTTTTGTGTTTATGACGTTTTTGAAAGCTACTGTTGACGTATGAAATGAGTGGAAATTCTCTTTTACATGTTGGATGATGGATGGGTTATTCTGTCCTTCGGCTAATAAAATATGGCAATCACCTCAGTAAAACCATTTTACCCATATTTTATGATCCTTAGTGTTGAATGTCCCTATCCCACACCCCAACACATACACGTGTATTAAAGGATTATTGGTTAATATCCTGAAGAAATTACATCTGAAGTTAACATACCGAAGAAAATGTCAATCAGCGTCTGTTTGAGATGAACATCTGTCAGCTGGCTCAGGAGGTTAGTATCCTCTTCGTTTTCTGCCTGTACTCGCGCTTGAATTAAGGTGTCAGTGAAGTCTCTTTGGAAACCTAAATTTTGTCAGTAATTAAGAAACAGAAAAAACTCATTATCTGTAAAACGAACGTTTCTCATATAGCAATAGATATTATATCAGATATTCAAATTAGAACCTACCATCGTCGAATGATTGCCTGTGTTCAAGTAGTTCTTCTTCGATGAACTGAAACAGTTCAGCTGATAATTGCGTTGCTTTTGTAAATCGCTTGCTCGGCCAAATCTTTGCCAAAACTGGTATTAGATCTTCTATGAAGCCTGACCCAAAAATAGCAAGCAGTTGATTATCTACATCGACCAAATGCTTGAATTTAGGGTCATCAACATTATACCTAGATAAAATGAAAACAAACAGGACAGAATTTATAAATTATGTTAAATAAATAACAGCCTTAGTTCAAGAACAGGAAAATACGAAGATGTCAAAGCAATCATAATCCAAACTCGAATTTAATAATTACTATGACAAAATAGGAACAAATGAAATATTTACTTTCAAACATCAGAGGGGCTCAGTTACTTCCTTTATGCCAATAGTATGCGGTATGGTGGTGTACAGAGGGGAAACATCAAATGTTTTTTTAGGGATTGGACATAAGAATCGAGGAACACTGATTTGTGTTTTGCTTTCCTTTAAGATTTCAAACATCTATTTTTTAAGAATGGCGGACCGAAATGATTTAACCGACTCTGAAAGCGAACTTAAAGCCTTTATTATTAATTGGCAATCTGGATGGTTGCAATACTATATATTGTTTATGATGACCATTTCAAGCATAATAATGCTTTGCAATAGAGACAACTTAACTTAGACTATAGATCAGAATAACACTTACCAAACAAATCATCAAAACAACTAGCGTTCACTTCATTATGTTCATCTGCTAAGTGTCAATCATATCGCGTTGCTAAGTTACTAGGCTGGCGACTTCAGTTAAAATTATCATTTCTTTATATACAACTCGTTACTAGACTAACCAGCTTCAGAACAGTACATAGGCACGGATTAACTTATTCTGTTGGAAGGAAATAAAAATATCGGTTATCTCCCCTGACTTGTATTACTGATCTCCATGACAGATTCCGTCGCAATGTATACTTTGGCGGTATGTTTTACTCTAATCCGTTTGTCCACAAATTCATCCAATACCAAACTTCGTTAGTGGATAATAATGTACGACATTACTCCTGTAAAAAGTGTCCTAGTGAAGGTCATTGGGTAATGATGAGAAAGTATATACCAATAAGATTGAAGTATACTATTAACTATAATTATTAATCAGTTATTATAATTATGTAAAACACGTATGATTTAAAAGATGTTCAAAAATAGAATAAGGAAACAATGTCAGACCATATCGTACAAGTTTTCCGAGACATTAATAATAAGACTGCTTCTGAAACGTGTTAAAAGTCGTGTTTATCTTCCTTCTGTTGTTATTCTGGTGAAATTAAAAGAAATTGTCAATACACTGACCAACACGCTTCAGAGAACAAAAAAAAAACCCATTTGTTTTGAACTATAATGGTTTGAAAATAATTACACTTTTTGGAAGCAGAATGCACACAAAATGTTGAAAACACCAAGATCTATAAACGTGTGCGGAACGACAGGTTCTCCCTTCGTATCATCAAACAACTTGATGATCTTTGACATCGATCCGTGTATGGCCTCTTCCAGTTGGTTTCCTTTCAAATAGGTCCTGAAAAGAAAACAACGCCAGGGATGGAAATCCAGCATATTTTATCATCACATTATGAAAAGGTGCTATTCACGTAAGAGTCTTAAGTACAATCCTTAAGAAAGAAGGTGGTAGACACTGCTGGTGGACTTTTGTACAATCCTTAAGACAGCAGGTGGTAGACACTGCTGGTGGACTTTTGTACAGTCCTTAAGAAAGAAGGTGGTAGACACTGCTGGTGGACTTTTGTACAATCTTTAAGACAGCAGGTGGTAGACACTGCTGGTGGACTTTTGTACAATCTTTAAGACAGCAGGTGGTAGACACTGCTGGTGGACTTTTGTACAGTCCTTAAGAAAGAAGGTGGTAGACACTGCTGGTGGACTTTTGTACAATCTTTAAGACAGCAGGTTGTAGACACTGCTGGTGGACTTTTGTACAATCTTTAAGACAGCAGGTGGTAGACACTGCTGGTGGACTTTTGTACAATCTTTAAGACAGCAGGTGGTAGACACTGCTGGTGGACTTTTGTACAATCTTTAAGACAGCAGGTGGTAGACACTGCTGGTGGACTTTTGTACAATCTTTAAGACAGCAGGTTGTAGACACTGCTGGTGGACTTTTGTACAATCTTTAAGACAGGTTGTAGACAGGTGGACTTTTGTAGACAGCAGGTTGTAGACACTGCTGGTGGACTTTTGTACAATCTTTAAGACAGCAGGTGGTAGACACTGCTGGTGGACTTTTGTACAATCTTTAAGACAGCAGGTGGTAGACACTGCTGGTGGACTTTTGTACAATCTTTAAGACAGCAGGTTGTAGACACTGCTGGTGAAGTTTTGTACAATCCTTAAGACAGCAGGTGATAGACACTGCTGGTGGAGTTTTGTACAATCTTTAAGACAGCAGGTGATAGACACTGCTGGTGGACTTTTGTACAATCTTTAAGACAGCAGGTGGTACTTTTGTACAATCTTTAAGACAGCAGGTGGACACTGCTGGTGGACTTTTGTACAATCTTTAAGACAGCAGGTTGTAGACACTGCTGGTGGACTTTTGTTTTGTAGACACTGCTGGTTGACGTTTGTACAATATTTTAGAGATCATGTGGTAGACACTGTTGGTTGACTTTTCTACAATCTTTGAGACAGCAAGTGGTAGATACTGCTGGTGGACTTTTGTACAATCTTTGAGACAGCAGGTGGTAGACACTGCTGGTGGACTTTTGTACAATCTTTTAGATGGTAGACACTGCTGGTGGACTTTTGTATATTGCTACTCTTTAAGACAGCAGGTGGTAGACACTGCTGGTGGACTTTTGTACAATCTTTAAGAAGCAGAAGACACTGCTGGTGGACTAACAGACTGTAACACTGCTGTGGACTTTTGTACAATCTTTAAGACAGCAGGTTAGACACTGCTGGTGGACTTTTGGTCTTTAAGACAGCAGGTGGTAGACACTGCTGGTGGACTTTTGTACAATCTTTAAGACAGCAGGTGGTAGACACTGCTGGTGGACTTTTGACAATCTTTAAGACAGCAGGTGTTATTCACTTGTGTGTGTTTTATCTTTAAGACAGCAGGTAGACACTGCTGGTGACAATCTTTAAGACAGCAGGTGGTAGACACTGCTGGTGGACTTTTGTACATATATACTTTGTAAACAAGACAGCAGGTGGTAGACATACCCAATGCTAGGGGACTTTTGTACAATCTTTATAAACCCAGTATATATATATACAGTGTAAACAAGTCATACCCAATGTAGGGGACAGAATATAAACCCAGTATATATACAGTGTAAACAAGTCATACCCAATGTAGGGGACGGAATATAAACCCAGTATATATACAGTGTAAACAAGTCATAGACAATGTAGGGGACGGAATATAAACCCAGTATATATACAGCGTAAACAAGTCATAGACAATGTAAGGGACAGAATATAAACCCAGTATATATACAGTGTAAACAAGTCTTAGACAATGTAGGGGACAGAATATAAACCCAGTATATATACAGTGTAAACAAGTCATAGACAATGTAAGGGACAGAATATAAACCCAGTATATATACAGTGTAAACAAGTCATAGACAATGTAGGGGACGGAATATAAACCCAGTATATATACAGCGTAAACAAGTCATAGACAATGTAGGGGACGGAATATACACCCAGTATATATACAGTGTAAACAAGTCATAGACAATGTAGGGGACGGAATATACACCCAGTATATATACAGTGTAAACAAGTCATAGACAATGTAAGGGACAGAATATAAACCCAGTATATATACACTGTAAACAAGTCATAGACAATGTAGGGGACGGAATATACACCCAGTATATATACAGTGTAAACAAGTCATAGACAATGTAAGGGACAGAATATAAACCCAGTATATATACAGTGTTTGTACAGCTATATGAGATGTGTATGAACATAGCGTACATTTCATACAAATATCATCAGTACAACATACATTATCGGTTAGTTAACATTATCATTAGAATGTTTGTTTCTAATGATAACAACATTGTTTGTTTTGAGCCTCTTTTATTTTAATCTTGGCGTGTTTTATCCTTGATTACGCTTTCCTTTTTTAATTTAGATGTATTTTTTTTAATTTTTGAGTTCCCACGCATAAGGAACACCGCTAATAGTTAGAGGGAAAATGTATCATTTGTTTCACAAAAACACTGTGCTTCCATGTTTTAACAGGAAAAAAAAAATATCGTGCATTTTACTAATGTTAAATGAAAGATAAACTTTTCCATTTACGTTAACATGAGGGACGGATGCTTTTCTTTGAATACAAAACAGCATATGTATATGTACCTGAGGGCGGAACCAGCGATCTTGCGGTGGAGTTTCCATGTATCCGTATAGTTGGAAAATGCGATATCTTTTCCACCATCCGAGAACATTTCCACTAAAGAATATAAATATCAAGAGTTCATCCGATTCTAGGATGTTGTAATGCCTATTTAATTTTTATTTAAAAGAAAATCTTTCCACATCATGAGACATGTTTAAATTGTCACCATATCATAAACAATTGTACAATGATAAATAGAAACTTTCGCTGCAGTTGACCTTTGAACTTCACCCATCATCAGATTGATATCCTGAAATCAGGGTAGTTAAAGGTAACCTACATTTGACGTTAAAATTGAGACCATCTTTATGTATTTCAAGAGGAACTTAACACTTTGGGAAAAAACAACAATTTAGGCGTTGGCGAAAAATACAAAAGTCGACCATTCATTCGAATAACTGGTATATATTCAAATCTTTAAATTGTGAAACCTCTTGTTAAATATGGAATCGTTTACTAACTAGCTCGCGGGCATTCAAATATAAGTGTATTAAGACAAATCGAAACTAAAATTTTACTAACCTGACGCTGACTGAAACCGGTCTGCAAAGTCCGCTTTACTTTTCACCAAGACGTCTGTTGCTGTTTCTATGGTATTTACAACCACCATTGGCATCGTCCCTGTCAATGATTTAATGGTTTTTTTTTTTCTTTTTATTGTATCAAATATAAAAGCGCAGTTTATATTCTAAAAAATGTGATCATCCTAACAAAATGTGGTATGGACTTTGGTATAACTGTACAAATAATGTATGGCCGTGGACCGGTGAAATTTAAAAACACATGGACCTCGTGGATGGTACTCATTTCGGCAGTGATCGAGATCGACAGGCAAAATTTCTTTAACTATTCACGTAGAAGTGAAATATTAGCTGTGCATAAAGTTTTTTTTTTTCAAAAAACTCAAGTGTCATTCAGGCAACACCGCGGCTTTCACACAAAACAACTTTGGTTAATTTTCATTCGCACAGAAAAATATGGTGTTAAACATCTAGAGAGTTTCACAATAAAATTGTTCTCTAGCCGTACGATTTAGAATCATTGGTAACAGCAGTATTCATCAATAATAAAATCATATATATATATGAAAAATGACGTCATTGTTTTGTGTTTGGGTGAATCTTGAAGGTTTATGACAGTTGTTCTACCGCAAAGGAAGATATTACGCATGTGACTTGGTTCTATGGTAAATATTATTGTCAACAATTTTTTTTTTCGTTTCAATTTAATATGAGATTTTGAAATTATTTTCGAGGGAACAAAAGACATGAAAGTGATTAGCACCTTTCAGTACAGCCCTTGAAAAATTCAATATATACCAAACAACAAATCAGAATGTATCATACAGTTGTTTTGTCTTCATTAGATCAGGCTAGGGATTTCAATCAAATAAACGTCAAAATATCCATGCTGAATGAGTGCAACAGAACATCATGTACAAGACATTTCGTAAAGACCGTTAAAGCGACATCACGGTTAAGCGTTTTTTTGTTTTGTTTTTGTTTTTTTATTGTGGGTTTTTTGTGTGGGTTTTTTGACTGATTTTTTTTATGATAGTCGACTTTCGCTGAAATATGCACATAAAGAGGAGAAATCCCTATATGTTGATCAACAAGATAAATATGTATTTTGTTGCGTCATATATGATATTGAAATCTCACTAAACACCAATTCCTGTTAACAAAAATGGCTTCCCGTCTGAATCGGTCGAGACAGTGTTGCCGATTATCGTTAATTATTTCTGTTTTGAATTAACTTAGAAGTATCATATAAAAGTCGCCAAATCGAAAACAGAATCTGGTGCCGAAAAACGGAATTTTACTGACTGTGTCATTACTGAAGCTGTCATTTCTGTCCGCCATCACGTGTTTGTGTTTACAAAATGAACTCTCATTTCAAAACTATTACGTAACGTTATCAACGCTAAATTTGAGACGGGTTTCCCGAACTGGAGAACTGGTCAAGCTGGACATTGGAAATCGACTGCGCTGTGAATATCGGGATAACAAAGAAACGTTAATTAAAGTTTTAAAAAACGTTCAATCAATGACAAAATAAATAATAAAATAAAGTTTTTACCGTGATGTCCCGTTCAATGAAATATTTCTAAAGTAAGATTTTCATAAAGTGTGACATTGATAAACCTGACTCGTATTAGTAGTACCGATTTAATCACAACAAACATTACAACAGGCCGGGAGATACGAAAATAAACCGTATGATACACGTTACATACGATGTACGTTTTTGCTTTGTGTTTTGGCTTCTATAACTGATATCGGAGTAACGACGAAAAATTTAGTGTTACAATAAATTAAATATGTTTTTAATTGATTGATTAGCCGCCGTTGACCATGTGAATATAAAACATTAACATAGTAACTCACATTATGCTATATACTTACCCATGTACATCGTGAAAACCGGGCCAAACTTCTCTGTCAGCTTTTCACAATCCGCCATCAAATTACTTGACGCCAACACTAAAATATTCAGGACCAACCAAATGTTATCAACATCAAGACCTTCAATAAATATTAATTTAATATCGTGATTTTACACCTATGCGTTAGAATAACTGACCTAGTGTTGTAGAGTTAGATATAACAAATAAGACTTAACGTCAGAGCAGAACTGTAAGTCAAAGTATGGAAACATGTAATAGCTGTAGTGATAGTTCTTTGTGATTCGTTAGTGAAGTAATATCGGTGAAAGAAAAAATAAAACCGAATGATTTGATTTCCTTCGAGAGCCAAAAGAAAGAATTATGATGTTTTTTAAACGTTTTATTTCGCTAATTACTTGCAGGGATACGTCACTAAATATTTTGAATGTGGAGTTGTCGGGTTACGAAGTGGTAACGCACTGGCCTTTTACCTAGTCGTCCGGGGTTCGATTTCCCGACTTAGGTCGGATCATTGAACGGACTTGAAATAGTAGGGGTCAATTGCTCCGGTTTTCTCTGCGTACTCCGGTTTCTTACCACAGTAGAAAACATCCGTCCAGTCCAACATGGGTGATTAGTATAAGATGAACTACACGTAACTCGTTTCGCAATAAGTGTTAAATAAATTAAGTTTGTCCCATAAACATTTTGTAATTTTTACATAAGCACAAAAGAATTTTGACTCCTTTTGTTAAACTGATTTTGCCAAGGAGATTTTTTATTTCAATTCATCTTTAAAGGGAAATGGCCACATAAGGTAAATCTTACGACTATAGTTTCCGAGCAGTGGTAAAGGTGTAGGTCCCGGCGGTAGTTTGTATTTGTTTCGTTTGATTAGCCAGTAGACTGTCAGACCGGCACCAAGTCCTACCAAAGCGGAAGTTGGTGTGACGTATTTCTGCATCGGTTCCAGCATCTCCTTTAGGTGCTGAAAGCCGTCTTCTAGTTGATCTTTCAAATTCTCCATTCTTTGTCTTTTTTCTGTGGAGTCGTGCAGGTAAATTCTGTAATTACGATAAACATACGGAACTAGTGTACATGTATGTCACCGAGACATCATCAAGGACTGTGATATGAAAATAAATAGGCACATTTAACTAGAGCTATTTTTATTTTCATATTAATGTGTACATACACGTGAATAACCAGGAACGATCTTGATGGAACTCGCTTCTGTGTATAAGTGACGATGATCACATGGATATTTTGTCTTACAGGAGTTCCACGTGTGGACTCAGATCGGGAGGCTGAGTTTGGTTCTTAGTTCCAAGTTCCGTTTAAAACGAAAAATCTTGGAAAAATATCAGTCCGCACTCTCCAGATATAATACAATGTAGATGTTTAAAATGATAAAAATGACGGACTGACGAAGGATCCTTCTCAAATCATAAGCCCATCGGAAGAGTAATGACAGATAGCCAGACAATATAGGGTGTACATGTAATAGGGTCTTTTCTTCACTTATCTTAGGTAAACAACATTTACTGTAGTGACTGCTAGTATTTTGTTAATACTCATTCTTATTTACAGAACATTTTACAAGATACCTAAATGATAATATTCGCCCACACGTATATTTACAGAAAATATTGTCACTATAATCATGTATTGAATAAAATGCCGGCGCTCATGATATGAAAAAAGACTGCTCTTGATAATCTGATATTCAATAAAATCTGTTTAAGTTTTAGCAAATCTGACCATGTGAAATTGCGGAAACCTGTAGCACTCCATTCCGGGTATATATTTCTAGCTGCCTACAAATTATCAAGAATTTGAATATTCTTTCACCTTTTTAACACATTTTAACTCGTTGACCTAGATTAAAAAAAGTATAGAAAATTTACCTGAGGAGACCTCCTAGCAGTCCAGGTATCAGTTACCTACCGGCTAAACACAGGTAGCCTTACTCTGATTAAACTCGAGAAAGATATTCCTAAAGAAATAAGTTATATTTGATCCAATTGACCTTGAAAACAGATTAAGGTCGTGTTAAAGATTTGTACAGTGCTTCTCAACAAGTTCATCATTGAAAAATAAGATTTGATTTTTTGACCTTGAAAGTAGTTCAATGTCATTTAGGAGGAAAAATGTGTAGCATCACATCCCAGGTATCTTCTAGCCAATTTCTTTTCTATGATTTTCTGGAGCTTGAATATAAAACTTATTGGAATTTTTAACTTGTTTAATCCCTGTTACCTTGAACATAGGTTAATGTCATTTATTTGAAGCCTATTTATAGCACTCGATCTTGGGCACATGTACATGAAGCTTTTATACCTCGACTCATATGAACCTTGAGAAGAATTTTCTAAAATATGTAGACATATCTGACCTCTGTGACATCAGAAATAAGTCAAAGTCACACTAAGGAAGAAACATATTAGCCCTCTGTCCCAGGTTCCTACTTACCAATTATCAGTACCTTGGGCCTTCAGGGACTTGCGAAAGTAGGTTAGGAAGTTTTCCAACCTAATTATCTCATGTGACCTTGTAATAGGTCAAGGCTATTGATATGAACTTTGAAGCACATATTTTCAAGCTGCTATTTGCCTAATATCAGTACTCTTGAACGTCTAGAAAATAAGAAGATAATTCAACTGTTGAACCGACACGTATTTGACCCATGTGAGGAAAGTTGGTACAACACCACCTCATGTACCTTTTTAAACAAATATTAATACTCTGTATCGTCTGGAACTTACAAATGATAATATTCATCCATGTGTGTTTACATATTTGACCTTGTGAACACGGAAGGTGACCAAGATAATTTATATGAGGTATATTTATATTTATACCATAATCTACTGGCCAAATATCATTACATGGATCTTCCAGAACTTGAATTCGATTATTAAGTATTTTCATCTATTTGACCCATTTGCCCTTGAAACCTTATGTAGATTGCTTTACCAGGAAACGCAGCAGCATTCGATCACATGTAACTACTGGCCAAATATCAAACACCTGAAATCTTCTAGAATTAAAATGAAGAATACTATTAAATTATTAGAATATCTAATACGTGTGACCTTGAAATAGGTCAGGGTCATTCAATAAGAAGAAACCAGACAGACAGAGAGTGACAAACAGACAGACAGAGAGGGGGGAGACAGACAGACAGACAGACAGACAGACAGAGAGAGAGACAGACAGACAGAGAGAGAGAGATTTCGTTAGATTTTAATTTTACATAAATAACTTTTCAACTGTACATGCATGAGTGTCACTGATATGTGTGTTATGTCTTACCTTTACTGTGTGGATCTCGAGGTATGACACATGCGTGTCTGCTGTCAGCACAGATCGATGTAAACAGCTACACGTATAAAATATATAATAAAATGGCTTCCCCTATATCAGAGTTACTGTCAATGACTGGATAACGCAATGTATTTTCCAAGTTGCAACGTGATCAATACCTCGACGTGCTAAATTATAAACTTTCGCCACACTATCGTACAATATATACATATACACGGATCCGGGCCCCGAAACATGCTAAATATAGAACACATTGCGCACCGGGAGACAATCATACAATACTGTAGACAGTCTCTCAGTGTCAAAAATGGTTCAAGGGCTATTAATCCTATTCAAAATATAAAGGTTTGACGTAGAATTTCCAATTATTGTTAACGACACAAAAGTCTCAGATTTATCAAAAAAATAGACCTGCATTCTGCCCACCCGTATTTTTCGTATGTGTCACGTGTCCAAAACCAACGTTGCAATTCAATAGTTAAGGTTTAAAAACAATCTAGATTGTTACATTAGATTTACATATAGGACAAAAATACTGAATGTTTCCCCGCATGTACAGTAAATAGTAAGGTTACTTAAGGTTAGAGAAATATTTGAGCACATGATTTGGTAATTTAATTCTAATCCCTTAATTTTCAAACTTTTCGTCATACATAGTTGTTGATTAGTTCGCAATCATATAAATCCGTAAATGAAGACTATCGAGGAATTTACCGTAACTAAAGCCATCACTGAGAACAAACCAACAACAGGGCGGTCAGCCAAGTCCGTCTTACTTTTCACCAAGACGTCTGTCACAGCTTCTAAGGTGTTGACAGCCATCACGGGGATCTCCTCTGTCGATGTTTCATCAAGAGTGTTCTTAAAGTGTGACACAGATTAACTAGATTCGTGTTTGTAGTATCGGGTCAATCTTTATGCATGGCATAAGCATGACTCTTTTTAATGTACTTCAAAAATCAGCATCATATGAAAAAGGATGATACACGTTACACACGATATACGTTTTGCTTTGTTTTGGTTTCTATAACTGATATCGGAGTAAAGACGAAATATTTAGCGATGCAATTAATGTGTTTTTAACTTGAACTTTCAGTCGCATTTGATCACGTGAATACATAACATTGACATAGCAGCTCAAACTGTTGCACATACTCACCTACGCATATAGTGAAAACCGTTTTTTTTAATGAACAGAAAATGGCACTTTGTCTTTCACAGGTAAGGTAAGATACAGGTGAAGTACAAGAAACCTGTATAAACATTTCTAGAAGAATGACATTTTTACATCCATAGGTTAGGTGATATATCAGATTAGTTACCATTTCAAACAAAAGTTTCAAAAATTGATAAACCGCATCACTGTTCAATCTTGCCATTGATAACAATGCAAAGTTTTGTAAACAAAAACAAAAATATGCGAGTACATTCTAAAAATAGATTCTTTTACCTATGATTTTAGTGTGGCGGTACGCTGATTTAAACTGTTCACTCTATAGTTGATCAAGTTAGGATCTATTCCACGTGCAATGTCTTTTGTTTAAAAAATTGTACCGTTTACCTATTGTATTGTTTGACATGGTTTATTGTTTATAGTATATAAAATATAATACAGAAAATCAACTGATATATCTTACATAATATATCTTTATAAGATATGTAACAAATCTTAACAGGACGTTTTATACAGTATGCAACTTGTGTAGATATCAAATAGGAGATCATCTATTAACACTGAAATTAGCAAATATGTGAAAATTAAGCAATGTGCAGTCTAACCTGTCATAACGGCCACCTTTGTTAGACGGCCACCTGCTTATAACGACCGTTTTCAGACCCTCCCAATCGCTTTTGCTCATTAATGATACTTAATTTAACGTACTTAATCATGGGACAAATTCATCTTTCGGTCTCAAGTTTGACCTTTCCTTCAATTAGGTTTCCCTCAGTCCCTCCTAGGTTTCAATATTTAGGCCATTAGCTCACTGACGAGTTCTAGAAGGACGAAACAGTTGTATGATGTAGCATCACTGACGAGTCCTAAAAGGACGAAAAGTTGTATGATGTAGCATCCCTGACGAGTTCTAGAAGGACGAAACAGCTGTATGATGTAGCATCACTGACGAGTCCTAGAAGGACGATACAGCTGTATGATGTAGTATCACCGACGAGTCCTAGAAGGACGAAACAGTTGTATGATGTAGCATCACTGACGAGTCCTAAAAGGACGAAAAGTTGTATGATGTAGCATCACTGACGAGTTCTAGAAGGACGAAAAGTTGTATGATGTAGCATCACTGACGAGTTCTAGAAGGACGAAAAGTTGTATGATGTAGCATCACTGACGAGTTCTAGAAGGACGAAATGTTGTATGATGTAGCATCACTGACGGGTTCTAGAAGGACGAAAAGATGTATGATGTAGCATCACTGACGGGTTCTAGAAGGACGAAAAGTTGTATGATGTAGCATCACTGACGGGTTCTAGAAGGACGAAAAGTTGTATGATGTAGCATCACTGACGGGTTCTAGAAGGACGAAAAGATGTATGATGTAGCATCACTGACGGGTTCTAGAAGGACGAAAAGTTGTATGAGATGCAGCTTAGTTCATTATTTGGCTCTTCTGTCTCTGATTCTAACTTTGTATTTACTTGTACTATTAACTTGTGTGTCTTTTGTATAGCTTTTTACCAAGTTTG